AATCGAAGAAATATTTCTAAGGCATCGGGCCCTTCTGATTCTGAGAGATGACTTGGGCTCAACGCCCTGTTGACTCCTTATACACTCGCCGAGTCCCTCAATCGAGGCGACTCCTCTGGGCCTTTTCACGGAAACGACAAAGAGTCTGGGCCCTTGTTTCCTAACTCTTCTTCGTCGAGTCCCGCAGTCGAGGCGACTCCTTAGGCTTTTTCTTTCTCAGAAACGTTTTGGGGTCAGCGCCCCGTTGTTTCTTTATATACTCGCCGAGTCCCTCAGTCGAGGCGAGTCCTTAGGCTTTTTCTTTCTCAGAAACGTTTTGGGGTCAGCGCCCCATTGTTTCTTTATATACTCGCCGAGTCCCTCAGTCGAGGCGACTCCTCTTGGCTTTTTTGCGGAAACGACTAAGGGTCTGGGCCCTTATTTCCTAACTTTTCTCGCCGAGTCCCTCAGTCAAGGCGACTCCTTAGGCTTTTTCTTTCTCAGAAACGTTTTAGGGTCAGCGCCCCATTGTTTCTTTATATACTCGCCGAGTCCCTCAGTCGAGGCGACTCCTCTTGGCTTTTTCACGGAAACGACTAAGGGTCTGGGCCCTTGTTTCCTAACTTTTCTCGCCGAGTCCCTCAGTCGAGGCGACTCCTTAGGCTTTTTCTTTCTCAAAAACGTTTTGGGGTCAGCGCCCCATTGTTTCTTTATATACTCGCCGAGTCCCTCAGTCGAGGCGACTCCTCTTGGCTTTTTCACGGAAACGACTAAGGGTCTGGGCCCTTGTTTCCTAACTTTTCTCGCCGAGTCTCTCAGTCGAGGCGACTCCCTAGGCTTTTTCTTTCTCAGAAACGTTTTGGGGTCAGCACCCCATTGTTTCTTTATATACTCGCCGAGTCCCTCAGTCGAGGCGACTCCTCTTGGCTTTTTCACGGAAACGACTAAGGGTCTGGGCCCTTGTTTCCTAACTTTTCTTGCCGAGTCCGGGCGATGGTTATCAGTAATCCGTACTCTTTTATTCAAGTCTCTCGGTACCCTCGGGCCTATACATGGACTAACCTTTCCTACTGATAGAACTTCTTCAAGTGGATGACGCTCCAGATTCGGTCCACAGGCTTGCCTTCCAGAGTTTCAAGCTTGTATGTGCCGGCCTAGACCACCGCGGCGATGTGATAGGGTCCTTCCCACTTTACCACGAACTTGCCTCCTTCCGCGGGCTGGCTTGCTTGCCGGTCTCGTAATACAAGATCGCCGACCTGGAAGGTTCGTGGGCGAATCCTTCGATCGCGATATCTTTTTACCGCTTGTTGATATTCGACCATCCGAGCACTCGCAGCTTCTCTTCTTTCTTCTAGGAAATTTTTCTCAACTCGAAGACTTTCTTCATTCTCCGTGTCGGAATAAGTGCGGACCCGGTGAGTGGGCTCGACCACTTCAATTGGGACCTTAGCTTCGAAGCCGTACGCAAGGGAGAATGGGCTCCCTCCGGTTGCTCGCCGCTGCGTAGTGCGATAAGCCCATAGGACTCGGTCAAGCTCATCCGCCCAATTTCCTCGGATATCTTCCAATTTCTTTCGGATTCCATCCACTATGGTTCGATTCACATTTTTAACTTGCCCGTTGGCCTGCGGGTACGCCACGGATACCTTGGTATGGCGGATATCGTGTCGGCGGCAGAAGTCAGCAAACGCCTGGCAGTCGAACTGTCGCCCATTATCGCTGACAATATGCTCGGGCAAGCCGAAGCGGCAAATCACCTTCTTCCATAGGAAGTGTTCGCATTGGTACTCGGTGATAGTGGCCAACGGTTCAGCCTCAACCCACTTGGTGAAGTAGTCGATAGCTACGACACAAAATTTCAAGCCCCCGGGAGCTGCTGGTAATGGCCCCAACAAGTCGATTCCCCACTTAGAAAATGGAATAGCCGTGGTGACCGGCGTGTAGAAGGTATCCGGCCGAGTGTCCTTTCTGGCGAACGCTTGGCAAACGCCACACTTGGATATCCATTCGATGCAGTCTCGCATCATGGTCGGCCAATAATACCCCTGGACGACCAACTTTCGGGCAAGCGTGTGGGCGCCCTGGTGTGCGGCGCAGATGCCTCTATGAGCCTCATCCATTATTTTTTCGGCCTCGGGCCTGAGCAAGCATTTCAACAGAGGACCCCCGAACGACCGTTTGTATAGCTGCCCATCAATGATTTCGAAAGAGGGGGCTTTTCGTCGAACCTTAGCGGCGACTCCCGGATCTTCCGGCAACTCGCCTGTTTCCTTGAATCGCCGGATGTCCTCTATCCAGAACATCACGGGGTTCTTCTCTCGGTCCCATTCCTCGCCGGTCACCTGCTGGACTTCTACTGTTGTTTCCTCGATACTTGGTCGCTCTAACTCCTCCTTTTGGCAGATCTTCACAAGATGATCCGGTACTCCCTCCAAGGCAATTTTAGACAATATGTCGGCTTCCACGTTGTCTGTCCGGGAGATGTATTCTATTTCGTAAGCTCCGAATTTCTTTAACATCTCCACCGCTCGCTCTTTATATAAAGTCATCCGCGTATTCTTAGCCTCAATCGCTCTTAATTCTCAATCGCTCCACTCCTAGGGCCTTGGCGAGTCGAAGACCATTTAGCACAACTTCATATTTGGCCTCATTGTTAGATGTCGGGAACAAGTAGCTCAAGGCATAGTATAGCCGGAACCCCTCCGGGGAGATGAGCATAACCCGACCCCCGCAGTGTCGTCGACTCGACGCTCCGTCCACATGCATTTCCCACCACTCGCCTAAACCGTCCTTCGTGGCGTGTTCCTTTTCTTCTTCGCTCGCCGTGCACTCGACCAAGAAGTCGGCCAAGGCTTGACCTTTTATGGAGGGCCGGGGCTGGTACTCAATCCCATACTAGGTTAGTTCCATGGCTCATTTCACTAGTCGGCCGGACGATGAGGGGTTTCGCAGGACGCTCCCAAGCGGTTGGTTTGTCAGCACTCGGACGGTGTGGGCTTGGAAGTAAGGTGCTAGCTTTCGCACGGTGATCACCAACGCGTATAGAATCTTCTCCAGGGCGGTATACCACGACTTGGCGGCCTTCAGGGAGTGGCTTACGTAATAAACCGGGTGCTGAACGCGCTCTTCCTCTCGGACTAGCACCGAACTCACCGCCTTAGAGGAGGCGGCTAAGTATAAGAATAAGGGCTCGCCCGCCTGGGGAGTAGATAATACCAGGGGTGTTGAGAGATATTGTTTCAACTCTTCGAACGACTGCTGACACTCGGTGGTCCAAGCGAATCCCTCCTTCCTCTTCATCGCTTCGAAGAAGGGCACCGTCTTATCCGCCGCTTTGCTCGGGAAGCGGCTGAGGGTGGCCAGTCGACCAGTCAATCGTTGCAGGTCTTTGATGGAGCTAGGGGGCTGCATGTCGACAATGGCCTGTACTTTCTCCGGGTTAGGCTCAATACCTCGCTTGGTGACCATATAGCCCAAGAACTTTCCACCTTGCACTGCGAAAGCACACTTTTTTGGGATTCAACCGAAGGTTATATCTTATCATCACTTTAAAACAGTCGGCCAGATCTTCCGCATGTTTGCTCTCTTCTCGGCTCTTGACGAGCATGTCATCGACGTACGCGGCCATTGATTTTCCCAGCAAGTGCTGGAATAGTCGAGCCACCATTCGCGTATATGTAGCTCCGGCATTCTTAAGCCCAAAGGGCATGACTCGATAGCAATAGACTCCATCCGGCGTTAGAAACGCGGTCTTTTCTTCGTTTGCTGAGTGCATGAAGATCTGATGGTACCCCCTGAAGGCGTCCATGAAGCTCAGCAAAGCTGACCTGGCAGTCTCATCAACCAATTGGTCAATCCGCGGTAATGGAAACGGGTCCTTAGGACAGGCCTTATTAAGGTCAGTATAATCGACGCACATTCGCCACGCCGGGGCTTCGGTACGAGAACCACATTCGCCAACCACTCCGGGTACTTAACCTCTCGGACATGTCCAGCTGCTAACAACGTGCTCACCTCTTTTTTTTACGAATTCTTTCCGATCATTGGCCAGGTACCGCTTCTTTTGTACGACTGGTCGATGCTCAGGGTCTACAGCGAGTCGGTGCGATATAATTGATCGATCGACACCGGGCATGTCCTCTGGACCCCAGGCGAAAACCAGCCGGCGTTCTCGGAGCACTTTTATGATTTCTTCTCTTACCTCTTGCGGGAGACCGACCCCAATTCGGACCCGCATGTCCGGTTGCTCAGGATCAATCTCCACCTCTTCCAATTCAACAGCCGGCTCGGGGCGAGGTATCATTGTCTTCTTTGGGGGCCTTTCCGTGATCTCATGGACTTGCATCCCTTGCTTGCCCATTCCTCGACAGGCTTGCAGGTAGCAGTCGCGGGCGACCTTCCGGTCGCAGCGCACCGTACCTATTCCATTTGGCGTGCGGAATTTCAGGCAGAGATGCTCGATTGAAATCAGAGCTCCTAGATCCTCTAGACCCGGTCGGCCGAGTATAGCATTATGCGAGCATGCCAGATTTACCACGATGAATTTCATACTGAGTTTCTGTACGTCTGGGTAACTGCCAATCTCAACTGGCAGAGTGATGGATCCTTCGGCTTCTACCGAATTCCCTGTGAAACCGGCGAGTGGAGTTTTGATGGGATTCAGCTGATCTCGGGTTAACCCCATTTTCATGAAGGTTTCCAGGTATAACACATTAACACTGCTCCCGGTATCGACCAGGATTCGGCGAACGACTACCCCCTTGATGTCCATGGCTATAACTAACGCATCTCGATGCGGCGTCTCACCAGCCGGTAAATCTCTATCGGTGAAGATGATGGGCTCTCGGCACGCCTTCTTAGAATTCTCCTCGCGCCCATACACTGTCCCGACATACAGCTGTCGGGCCCAGGCCTTTCGAGTATTCGCTGAGTCACCACTTTCCGGCCTGCCGACTATCATGTTGATAACCGGGTTTTGACGCCACTGAGCCGCATCTTCTTCAGAAGCAGGCTGCTTGCCCCGATTACTCTCGGCGGCGACGGCGGGATCCTCGTCCCCTCGATTGGCCGACCTCCGTCTCCATTGATTAGGAGGCGGGGTTCCTTGTTGGATGATACCCTCCATGATCTTCTTCAGGTAAAAGTATTCTTCTGTGCTGTGGGTATAAGATTTATGGTAACGACAATATTTAGAAGTCTTACCCGTCTCTTCGCTAGTGATGCGGTCATCAATCGGCTGAGGCGGAGGCGGGGCGACCGCTTGTATTTCATGCACCGACCGTTTGGGAGCCGGCCAGTAGGGGTGTACGGCGGGCCTGTCGTATGGTCGCCTGATTTCGGATCGTCGGGTCGCGTCCGGGCGCCTTTCCTTGGTTTCGGCTCGCGTTTTCTTTCCATTGGTAGACCCGCCGACTTCGCGCTGCCGTTTGTGTTTTATAGCCTGCTCTGTGTTGGCCCTCTTGTTGGCCATATGGATGGCTTCCGCGTAGGTAGCCGGGCGGTTGTCCCGCAGGTCTCGGTATAGCTGGCCGGACCGCAGGGACTCGATGAAGAAGGTGAGTGCCGTCTGGTCCTCGACCTCCTCTATAGACTGGATTTCTTTCTGCCAACGGGCCAGATAGGTTTTTAAGGACTCGCCCTCATCCTGATGAATGTCGCCTAGGTGTGTCAAGTCTTTTTGTGGCCTGATATTAGCGGCATAATGGCTCATAAAGCGGACCGCTAGTTCTTCGAAGCTACGTATCGACCTCGGCGGCTGGCCACCAGCCACCTCTATGCTGGGCCTTTTAATGTGGGCAGAAAAGCGCGGCACATGACCGGGTCTTGAACTCCCAAGACCTGCATCTTGGCCTGGTAGCTCAGCAAATGCTCTCGAGGGTCGCCGGACCCATCGAACGTGGCTTGCTCCGGGAAGTTGAAATCACCCGGTATCTTAAAGGACATGATCTTGTCCGAGAAGGGCAAGGCGGTTAATAACCTACGTCCTGGGGATTTGGCTTTTCCCTCTACCTGCTCTCTCAGATTTCGGACTTCTTGGACTAAGTTTGCCACCTCGACCCTCTCCCGGGGATGGTTTCCTGTTGATTCCGTGTTCTCACCGACCTCCGACTCGGCCGGTTCGATGCGGTTGCGGACGGGCTGCTCTATACGGCGAGCCTCAGTCCTGGTTCTTCTGGTACGATTTTCCTCGCGTGTAGTCTGCCGATCGCGAGCAGCCAACGGGGCACGACTGGGTTCCCTCCGACCTAGTCGTTCTCTCGCCGACCGCCGTCCGGCGCTCAGACCTAGCCGAGAATGAACGGACTGTACCGGCTGGCTCTCGGCTCGGCGGTTCTGTTGCCGGTCATCAGGCCCATGAGACGGCTGCTGATTGCGTTGCGGTAAACGAGTGGCAGACTGTTCTCTTACTCCTCGACTCGCCTCGGCGAAGGCACGCCCGATCGCATGTAGTTGCTCCGGGGTGAGCTGCACCTGAGGCGGTTGTTGATTTATCGGTGGTGTGCGCGGCGGCGTTGTCTCGTTTTCCCGGCTCCGAGTGTTTCTCCGATTCAATTGGTTTCTCAAGTCCACCCACAATCCGCTATTATGTCGGCTTAACTGTTCCTGACTTCCAGTCATGTTAGGAGCTTTTCTGATTCCTTACGTCTTATGACTGAAATTCTTCTCGTTGTTTCTCGAACTTGCCTTGCTCAGGAGGACACGCGACTCTTAGTTTCAATCCCCACGGACGGCGCCAGTGATGGTTTTTGGGTTTTCGGGCCCAAGGAGGTCCAACACAACCTTTAGCTGGAGGATACACCTTTCAATAAAATGTGTGTCTCGAAAGAAAGAAAATGCTTTGTTTAGAATCTCTTCTATTCCCTCTCCGGGTCCTCTTTTTTTGTGTCCCCCTTCTACAAGAGTGGAGGAGCCTTTATATAGCGGCTCCTCCCCCACTGACTTGAAGGCCCTTAATAGCCGACTTCAAGACTAATTAAAGTATCGAGCCGTTGGTCGCTTTTACTGAGTCGGCCAACGGCTCTCTCAAGCTTGTAACAGCCGGACCAAGTCCGGCCTTTTAATGCCCTAACGGTTCCTTGTTTAAGAGTCTCTTTGATGATCTCAACGGCTCCTTGAGCCGAGTCTTTCTCTGGGCTTGGGGCCTGGCCGACTCCTCGCCCTCGACCCAAGCTCTTGCTGGGCCCTTCTTAGCAATCCTGAACTAGGTCCCCGTACTTGGGCCTGGGCCGATTCCTGGACTCGGCCCAAGCACTCTCCGGGCTTCTCCCGATGCTAGCCCACCTTTCCTGTCTTGGGCTCTCTTCTTTGGGCCAATTTTTCTTGGGCCGGGGTCCTCACCCCATCATATACTAAAAACCATTTTCTAAGGTGTGTGGTGGAGTTTCCTTTATACTCTTAGCAGGGTGCACAACTGGCCAGGGTCTCAAGAATCTGTGATCTTTGGGGGAAGTAGAATATGTTATCTTAAAAACATTATCGGCAACAATTTTTGCAATAATCTTTTTCCATGATTAGACTTCTTAGACTTTTGGGAATTGAAGGTTCACACATCACACTACCCATTCAAATAGCCTTTTTTTAGGATTGCTCATAATATTAAACTCTGAGATTTGTTTTTTTTTTTTTTTTTTTAAAAAAAAACAAAACAAAACAAAATAAAACAAAAAACTCTGAAATTCACTTTTTGACAAATGTTACAATAAAAAAAGATAAGTTAAACATTTCCTCATTGTGCAACAAACATTGAAAGTTCAATTAAATATCATTATAAACTTTAAATTTATTATACAGATTGATAATTGTCAAAAATAGTGCTTACCACAATGTCAAAAATTATACTTCATAAATACTAGTAGTAAAAAAAGATAGATCTTCAATTTCTTATACTTGCATAGCTGTCATTGACATGTTTCGATAGTAGGATGCTAAACTTAACTCTCTAGGTCTTTGACGCTTTCCCCAACAATAGTACAAATGTGTGTGTGTGTGCCGCTAAAAGTCAAGTCTAGCACTCAAAGCTGGGTGATTATTAGGCGGAAGGCCAATAAAGGGTTTAAAAGGTCGTGTCCAGCACCCAACGTCTCGTAAATGTAATGGCGATTTATAAGAAAATAAAGTTGTTCCTTCGCTAATAAATATAACTTTTGGTGTGGAATTAAGCATTTGATCCTATATATATGTGTGTGTGTGTGTGTGTGTGTGTGTGTGTGTGTGTGTGTGTGTGTGTGTGTGTGTGTGTATATATATATATATATATATATATATATATATATATATATATATATATATATAATATCATTTTTAGTCCCTCGACTATAATACATGTATCAGTTTTAGTACTTAACTATTAAAATATTTAATTTTGGTGCATGACTATTCAATTTGTATCACATTTTGTCCTTGACTAATAACATTTTCAAATTAGGTGCATGATTATTCAACTTGTACCACATTTTTTCCTGCCGTTAAATTTTCCGATCAAAATTTCGGCCAAGTCACCTGTGACAGATTAATTTATTTAATTTTTATTTTAAAATTATTTTGATAATTTTTTAATTAAAAACCTTAAAAAAACAAAAACAAAAACAGAAAATAGCCACCTCATCCCCTCCTCATTCGTCTCTGTCAGAGACAAAGGAAGAAAGGGGTGGGGTGGACGACGTTCTCTTTTTCCCCATTCTTCCTTTGTCTCCACTGGAAACGAAGAAGGAAGAGGGGGGGGGGGGGGGGGGGAGAGAGAGAGAGAGAACGCCAGCCACCCCTCTCCTCATTCGTCTCCGCCGGAGATGAAGAACGAGGGTGGGGGGCATTTTTTATTATTTTATATTATTTTTATTTATAAGTTTTTTAATTTAAAATTTTTTAAAATAATTTTTAAAATAAAAATTAAATAAATTAGCCGGAATTTTGACCGAAAAATTTAACGGCAGGACCAAATATGATACAAGTTGAATAGTCATGCACTTAATTTGAAAATGTTAATAGTCAAGGACCAAATGTGATACAAATTGAATAGTAATATACGAAAATTGAAAATTTTAATAGTCAAGGACTAAAACTGTTACATACTTACATGTATTATAGTCGATGGATTAAAAATGATATTTTCATATATATATATATATATATATATATATATATATATATATATATATATATATATATATAACTGTTAAAATTTGACGGATCTGATTAGATTTTTAAATATGCATACCAAGTAAATAAAATCAACGGAAAAGCTAAATTTTAAATCTAAACCGTAAATGCTAGACCTTAAGCAGAAAAAAGTGAACCACTAAACAAAACAAAAAAAAAAAAAAAAAAAAAAAAAAAAAAAAAAAAAAAAACAAAAAAACGCAGTCATAAACTCTAAAATCAAAATCCTAAGTGCAATGCACTTTCGCATTTTTGCAAGTGCAATCTTTTAATGCAAAATATGCAAAATGTTAATACTAAATGTGCAAACCTAAAAAAGTCTGAGAATTGCAGATTTTAGTGTTCAAGTTTGCATAGTAAAGTTGATGATAATTATGAAAATGTCACTGCATTTTTTTTTTAAATTTGATCTGATCCGTTATATTTTTTCCAAATGTAAGTCTAAGATTGGTTCTAATTTCTCTCATAAGGATTTTCTCTCATTATATATATATATATATATATATATATATATATATATATATATATATATAAAAGGATCAAGGGTGAGAAATATGATGTAATCTTAGCCATTGATTTAGATCAGATCAACATCCAGAATTAAGCAATTTAAAAAAAAAAAAAATACAGTAACATTTTGATAATTTTTTGTAACGCGGTGCACATTGTTCCTCCCTCATGTGCACATTATTGTTGTGGCTCGCATGTGGCGGATTTTTTTTTAAAAGATGAGTTGATGAATAGCTGAGATACACTTGCTAGTTTCACCTGCGGCTCCTTTTTCACTTGAACCCCTGTGTGTGTGTGAGTGTGATGTAATGGGATAAAATTAAAACAAGAGCAAATACCAATTTTGGTCCCACGAGTATTAGCAAAATGACGGTTTTGGTCCACATATTTAATTTCTACCAATTTTCATCCCACGACTATTGTTTTAGTACCAATTTTCATCCACGACTATTATTTTAGTACCAAAATTCATCACGCCGGTCACCCCTCCATCCAATACATGTCGAAATCTACAAATTTTAAGGGCATTTTCGTCATTTTCAACTTAAGGCTCTAATTTGAGCATGAATAAAGGGATGTAAGCCCTAAGATCAATCTCAATTGGCAGTTCTCCTGCTCATCCTACTTTAATTTGAGGAGAAAAACTGCGAATTACGATAGATCTTAGGGCTTAAATCTTTTTATTCATGCTCAAATTGGGATCTTAATTTTTAAAAGACGAAAATACCCTTAATAATTTCATATTTCGACACGTTTTAAACAAATGTGTGATTGGCGTGATGAATTTTGGCACTAAAACAATAGTCGTGGATGAAAATTGGTATTAAAGTAATAGTCGTGGATGAAAATTGGTAGGAATTAAACATGTGGACTAAAACTGTCATTTTGCTAATACTCGTGAGATCAAAATTGGTATTTGCTCTTAAAACAATAAGAATAAATGTTATATTGCAGCGTCACAATAGTGAATGATTAAATATGAAATTTACTTTTTTTAAAAAAAAAAATAAATTGTATATGAGCATTAGTGTGAATAATATGCGATATAACCAATTATTCCCATTATTTCTATATTATTACCATTGATGATGGCAATCAACATCATTAAAAAAAAATGAAAAAATAATACTTTTTCTCCCTATGTTATATACTTATAGCACTTTTCCCCTTGAATTATTTAAGTGGCAGTTTCCCCCCTAAAATGTTAAATGGACATATTTATCCTTAAAATAAATATTTCATTTATTTTTCTTATTCAACAAATTATGATGACTACGATTTGGTTCAAACCGAACAGACACTATAGAAACCAAACTGAAATATTCCGTTTACAATTACAAATACATTTGTTGTTGAATTTAGACTATTTTAAAAATAAAAAATAAAATTTTAAAATAAAGTTTGAACCAACAGTTCAAATTGGATCCGGAACCGTGAACTGACGGTTCAAAATCAAAACCAAATCGCGGTCATATATATACTTATATGTGAGAATCAGAATAAATGTAAAAAAAAAAAAAAAAAAAAAAAAAAAAAAAAAAAAAAAAAAAACTATTTGTAAGTATTATAATTCTAATTTCAAGCTAATGCTAGTAGTTGTTCCAATTCGAATCGCCGGTTCTCGGTTTAGGATCCAGTTTTTTCGATTCATGATTTTAATAAACTGAAATCCAAATTTTGGGTTCTGGATCTGAGTCATAACCGGGAACTTTAAATTCTGTTGCTATAGTGTCCGGTTCAGTTCGAACTGAACCGTGATCATCCCTACGTATAAGCAATAATTTGTTGGAGAAGAAAAATAAATAAAATGTTTACTTTAAGTGTAGAAATGTCAATTTAATATATCAAGGGGGAAAACTGTCACTTTTAGAATAATTGAGGAAACTAATGTACTTACACAAATAATTCAGGGAGAAAATATATTATAAACATATAATTCAGGAGAAAAAAGTTTCATTTTTCTTAAAAAAATCCATATATTACTTAATTATTATGTTCTATAAGAATGGTACTTCTTAACCATCTAATCTTTTATTCTATCCTTATGATATGATTGCGGAAGGAGATATTGACACTTTTTTTTTTTATTGTTACAAAGGAAGGAGGATACTCATATATACAATCTACGCCTACATATATTGATTGCTTAAACCCTAGACTTTCTACATAAAAGAGCAACCGGATACCAGTGAACCACAAGGCAAGGAAGGAGATATTGACACTTATTATTCGCTATAATAATGACCTTATCTTTTATGTTTCTTGACTCATGACTTGTATGACATAAAACTTAAAAGGCTAGTCAAAGTTCTGTGAATACACATCATGAGTCAAAAAATAATTCAATAAAATAATTACAACTTATGCGGTAATATTAGGGAGTTTTTTTGTTTTTTTTTTTAATGCAAATATTAGGGAGCTGAGTGATGAATTTTGTAAAAAAAAATATAACATAATTTTACTTTATTATGTTTACTACATGACATGTTATTATTTTATTTTTTTAAATTTGATTATTATGTGAAGAATAATGCTATTTCCAGTCTTGACTTTACCTCTTAATGTATGTTAATCTCTAACATGCCAACAAAATTCATTTTATTCAATATAATGGTTACCGTAAATTAGTTGACCCCTCTACCTAATATTTAAAAAATATATTTATTAATAATCATCAATATAGGGTCTGTTTAGAAAATAGTAAAATAACTTCTGGAAAATATTTTCTGAAAAATGAATCATTTTTCAGAAAATATTTTCCTTTCTCGTGTTTGGCTGCACATAAGAAAACTGTCTTTGTGTGTTTGGTTCATTTTTTAAAAAATGATGTAAAATTGTATAATTAAATATTTTATATAATTAATTATTTTGTTTAAAATATAAAAAATTTATAATAATATTATAAATAATAATATTTTTTTAAATCAAATAATATTATTTATTAAAAATTTTTAAAAAGTAGAAGGAAAAAAAAACCAATAAAATGATGGAAACTCTCTGATTTTCGCCGTTCTTTTTGGTTTCCAGTAGAAACCAGAGAGCAGTATTTACTCTCTGGTTTCTGCGGCCGAAAACCAGAGGGAAGCTCTCTGGTGTCCGGCCAGAAACCAGAGACAGTGGTTGTAGGTCAAAGAAGCCTCCGGAAAATGACTTTCCACCAAAAAAAAGAGGAAGTCATTTTCCAGAAAAATGATGTTATTTGTTATTGACCAGACCTGATTTTCTTTTGACTTTTCATTTTCCTACCTAACCAATCACCAGAAACCCGAAAAATGATTTCCAGACACCTTAAAAAGAATCAATAAAATATTATCATTTAAACAAGTTAAATTAGGAGATAAAAATAATATGGAGAATGTAGCATTAGGCTTATGTGAATTCTTCATTCACTTATGATAGAGTCAACTCATTTACGTGTAGCGAATGAAAATAAATATTTTCTTCAGATTGCCGCATCAATAAGTGAATGTTGATTTTGGTAGGGAAAAATGCATTGGAGTGTTATATCTCAGTCTTGGATTGTGGGACAACCTATGGTGCATGATTGGTGGTAGGATAAAGGAGGAGCGACATCAATTACAATAGTTATTGCATAGACCGTGATTCACACAATCATGATCTAAAAATAATATTGTTTTGCATAATTTTTTTTACGCGACACACTGCAATATACATTTTTATAATTTATAATTTACATTATTTTTACCAAGAAATTTCATTATTCTAATTCATAATGAATATTATTCTAACACATAATATACATTATTTTAACATATAAAGTACATTATTCTAACTCATAAAATTCAACGACGTAACCTTTGGACCGTGGTCCGACAATCCAAACAATAATTTGCCGATTAGGAGTGGGCCGAGACTGACATAAGCAGATAGCGGAATATTGGACAAGTGCCTAAACTTTATCAAACTTGTTATAATACAATCAGCATAAAGAAGATATGTTATAGGCCTTTATTTAGGGTTCTTGCCTTTATAATTTGTATAACATTCCTTACTATTGCCTCGAAGGAAATAATAATGCATCCTTGTTACTGCATCTTTCGCGTTCTTTTTGAGTAATTGTTTTTTTTTTTTTTTTTTTTTTTTGAGGGATGAGGGAATTAAGCTTGCAGTCACACTATACATGAGAGGTAAATCACACTAGAAAGATCTTGTGTCACAGGCTTAACTGAGAGGGTGTTGGTAAAAATCGAATATAAGATATTCTAGTACAAGAATCATGCTCCACTCACTCGACTACTCATTTTGAGTTATTTCCTTTTAATCTTTAATTTATACTCGAGACTTGTTCCTAGATTGCTTTAAACCCAAAATTCAAATTTTATCCTAT